AACTGGCTTGTCCCCCCTACTCCCGCCCCAAGCACACTTTACAAAGCTGTCTCTTTTAAATCATTCAGATTTGGCATTCGAGACCGATTTGTTCTGTTATAAGGGTGCCCATTTGGCCCACTCTTCGCACCCAGCTGTTCAGAATAGGAAGGCCCCTCTGTGGCACTCCGGGTCACAGAGGACACGTGCCAACCAGGGTCCATCTGACCTGACAGCTGGAGGGTTGGCCTGCCCTTTGGTGTGGGCTCCTGCCGGATGTTGCTGCTCCCGCCAGAGGCCTGGCTCAGGGGATGAATCCGAATTTCTGAGAAGGAATTTTTGGCTTGTTGAGATGTTAATGGCTGGAAGCGGGGGTCTGAGGAAGCTGGGTGATTGGAGGTTGAAGAGAGATGCAACAGCTTTCGCAGTGATTTTAACGGCTGGCTCTGAAAGACAAGACAAGAACGCATGTAGGATCTCATTTAGCGTGTACCGGAGAGTTGGGAGAAAGTACAGCACGCGTCTGAGATGACTGCATGTAGCCGCGGAGGGTGGGCCCCGCGGGGGAGGAGGGCCCAGTCCAGCCTTATCTATCTTTTTGTTCTTTTTCAAAGACGGGGGAATCTCATGCCTCAACCAGCAGAAAGAAGCAAAAGAAGGGATATGACTCTCCCTTTTGAGAAGACTTCCCAACAGCACCACAGAAAGCTGCCACTTGTATTTCAGTGGCCAGAACTGAGCCATATGACCATTACTTAGCTGAGAGAGAAACCGAAAAAATATCATGTTTCAATCAGGTAGCAATGCACTCAGCTAAAATTTATATATCTCCTTCTGTTCTCACCTCCCTGATTTTCCCTTTCCCTTGACATTGCAAAATCCAAATGTTCCCTTTCTGCCCTTTTACTTTTTTGGTTTTGTTTTATTTATTCTTTTGTAGGGGGAGGGTAAGATTTGGGCTTTAAAAATGCAAAGCACAGAGAAACAAGCAAAAGCCCCGCAGATTCTAAAACACAATTCACTCATAGGAAACCTTCGATTCCTAACATGGACTCCCAGCTGCCCTGTCTGCTGTGTGGCCGGGGCTGGGACTCACGGGGTGTGGTACTGTGGAGGGGGACTGCACGTCAAGGCAGAAGAGAGGGCCCTGGAAGCTGGCTGGCCAGAAGGCTCTTCACTGGTGACAAATGGCTCACTCTCCTCTCTTCTACGTCTGGTGTAATGAGGGCCGCCATCAGAAGAGGCACGAGAAAGCACCCTGAAATTCATAGCCCTCCCTGAGGACTCTGGCTGCAATGAGGCCTTAGCCTTGGGACACCTCTGGCTGCCAATCTTCAAGGACGATGCTTTTAAGGGCTCAGCAAAGTTCTAATAAAACAATGATCTCAAGGAACACTACAAGATTTGAAGGAATAGAACTCTGAAATCCAAGAGAAATTGCTTCAGAATTGATTCAGGTAGAAATTATTCCTGGAAAAGCATCTTCTATGGCCATTCCAAATTCTGTCCAAGAAAGCTTTGTGGTCCCCACAGGAGGTGGCATAGTATACTGCATGCCACAAATGCTCAAAAGTGTATGTTTTTTTAAAATAAAATTGGTATGATAATGCGATGAGATTTCCTGGTGATTTTTTATAGCCCTGACCACATATAACTATTGAGCACTTACAGCTGACTCTTGAACAACACAGGTTTTAAACTGTGTGGGTTCACTCATAATGTGGAATTTTTTCAGTAAATACCTGTACAATTTTTGATCTGTGGTTGGGAGTCTGTGGATGCAGAGGGCTGACCATATGCATGGATCTGCACACACCATTTTTATATTGTGGATTTGGGCATCTGCGGATTTTGCTGTGCATGGGAATTTGGAACCAATTGTCTGCAGATACTGAGGGACAACTTAAGTTTGAGGAAGTCAAATGTTAAAAGCAGATTTTTGACTGTGCCCGGGGTCAGTGTCCTTAACCCCCATATTGTTCAAGGGTCAACTATACAATAATATGGGTTCAGCTGGAGATATAAGGTTACCCAAAAAGAGCTTTTTGGCAAAAGAAGTGGTTATACAAAGAAGGTTCTAAAGGTCTTCACCTATTTATTTATTTATTTTTTAGGTTGGGAATAGAACATCAGGCCCTTGCTCAGAGCCTTGAGCTCTTAGTTCAGATACATATCCAATAACTTGGATAGCTGGTTCTCTACACACCCTTCACCCCCACCCCCAGCCTATGTTATACTGGAAGCATAAAATACAAATGGCTGGGCAAATACAATCAAAATTTGGGGAACTCCTGTCAGCAGCTCTAAGTAACAGCTTACAATTAGAGAGTAAACACCAAACCTAAAAAAATCGACCCTCTTTCTCCAAATTACAGAAATTTGTAGTCATTTATAGGCGCCACCAACTCTACAGCCTCAAAAGCTCATGAGGGTTGTCAGAAACTACAGTACAGAGGAATGACGGATTTATAAAATATTGAATACAATCAAAAATCAAGTTAGATTGTGTTACTATGCTCATTACAGGATACTGAAAAGATACAATATTAAAAATTTTCCAATCAAAATAGTTGTTTAAAAGAGATAAAACCTCAGTTACATGAAAAATGTATGGATTTGTTTCTGCTTATTCCTCTATCATAGTAGAGAAATACAATTATACATACTGTCTAATGTGCAGTCCTAATGCAATTATTTGCCAGTTTTCTATCAAAAATAGTATGGATTTCAGAAGTTTAAGTATTCTTTCAAGAAAGTTGATCATATCTGCCTTTCTAGGCCCAATTCATACGCTACTACCTTTAATGAAACCTTAATCTTCCCACTATCTCCTCTCATATTCCCCTACATTTTATGCCCTGCTCCACTTTGTTTTTTAATCACAAATTATGGTTATTTATGGATTTTCCGTCTGTCCTAGGCTGTAGAGTATTTGTAAGCTGGGCCATGTCTTAGTAACCCCTAATCCCATCCCACACCCCACTGCAGCTAGGTGAAAGCTAAGGGAAGTTCATTTTTTTCCCCAGTAGGACAAGAGTCACCGAAGCAAGATCTGGACTCCCAAGATGCATCTGGCTATTAGTGAGGGTATATTCTGGGGAGACTCTCAGCCTTGTTGTATCACTGAGAGGCTAAATTTGTCAACCCTGTGCCCTCAGGAGGGATGACCACTGCAGTCAGAGTACAGGAGCGACACGGGTACCACTCACTTGGGGCTGTAGATCAGAGATCTTCTCAGGACGCCACTCCTTTGGTCTGCTGCTCGGGGTACTAGCAGAGTGAATGGCTTTCTGCAGTGTCAGAAGATCGGGGCCTTCGGAATTGGGCACCTAGAGCAGAATATGGACAAGGCTTCAGTCAGCACACCAATAAGTCTAATTAGGATAGGCAACTGCACCCAAGAGGAGAACCAAAGCAAATCAAACCAAACCCAAACTCAACCAAAACAAACCAACAGAACCACCCCCCAAAAACCGAAACAAAACAAAAAACAAACAAGGAAAAAAAAAGAAAAAGGAAACCCAAACTCTCCCAATGTTCACAATGCAAGTGATGCTAGTTAAATTCTGCTGCCCTCTTAATAATTTTCCCTGCATTAGGAAAAATTGGCAGATGTCATGCAGCTTTGTTAAAACCTCAATCCTTAAAGCATTCCCATGCTGTTAGTTTTAGTCGCTGTAAGAGAGAGCTGTTAAATTGGGCTGTACCAGGAATTGCTGTCGTATCCTCATTCCACATTGCAGTTAGGTTATGAACCAGTTCAATAAAACAAAAATTTGTTCCCGCTGGGAAAATGATCCAAACACTGTGTTTGGAAAGGGAGGGGGGAGGAGGGTTATAGAAAGAAGTCTAGCAAGTTTCTGAGGATAGCAAAGTAGAGAAGTATAGTTTGAATCATACTCCCAAGACACGGCCCAGTAAATAATCTGGGTCTAGCATTATATACGATGAAAATGCTGGAAATTTGTGCAACAAATTCCAGACGAATGCAATTGGTCCGTTCACCGATTTTGGTGAACACAGGAGAGTAAATGGCAAATGCCAAGCAAAAGCCCTGGCTTTAAACCCAGTGACCAACCAGTGAAAGCTAGAGCTAGGCAAGAAAAAAAGCAAATCACCAATAGAAGCTGTGTTTTTTCATGGAGCCTGCTAGCTCACTCAATTTGGTCAGTGCAACTTGGTTTCAAGAAACAAACTGCCAACCAAGTGTTAACAAACTTTGTGAGCCGAACGAACACGTTTGTGAATTGTAAATGTTAATCAAATTCTTTACAGGTAATAAGAGATTTTATGAATGCTGTCTGCCGACAATTGGCTAATCAGACAACCCAAACTAGCCTTTCACTAGTTTGTTTGCTTAATAGCCTTTTATGCTTCACTTTCCTTGACTGATTCAGAAAATCCAGAATGGCAAAGAATTTATATCTCAGTGAATTTATGGAACTGGCTCAGGTACTTAACTAGCACAAAGAGAATATGACCCCATGAAAATAAAAGACATGCTGTTGTCATCAGTAAAACAAGTTTACTGGAGCAGTTTTCAGGGCTACCATACGTAAAAATGGGTACCATGGGTGGAGTGACTACAGGAAGCTTTTTCAAAGAAGAACTATGCTTTAAATGATTCTTTGAATTAAAAAGAGGAAAGAGGGATTTCTTGATGCTTGGATTCTCCCCGTTGGTGGAATCTGTCTGCAATATAAGATACAAATAAATTGCAAAAAAAAAAAAAGGAAAAAAAAAGGTGTTCTTATAGAAATGTCTAGCCCTTGGAAATCCTCAAATTGTTAAATAGTAACAGTCACTGAAAGAATCTCTGTGCTGTGTGTGCATCTGGAGGGGGTTCTGTGTCATTTCTCACCTGGACATGAAGAAGTCAACACTGTTAATTCAAGACATGCAACAACTTCTATGAATATAAAGAACACGTGGTCCTGATCAACACCTGTCATAGGAATGCCTAGGGACCTACTCGCATCATTCACATTAAGCTTACAAAACACTTAAGAATTTATTATCAGAAATAGAATTATTATAATGAATTGTATTTAAAGAGCTATTCATGAACTTCAATCTTTTCCAAATGGCTAGAGAGGACTTCAGCAACCAAATAATTAATCTACCATGTAATCTGCCTATTAGGAAAAAAAAAAAACTTTTGAACATGGTTAATTCATAAACCAGAACATGTCACTTGGAGGAGAAACATCACTGTTGCAGGATTCTACTGTCAAGGAAGAAGCCCCTTCGACACTATTAGAAACATTCATCCCATGGACAATATCAAGCGCAATTCAGAATATGGGGTTTCAAAGTGAGGAAACGGAAAGTTCGTTCTTTAAATTGAAGCATGATTACCAGCTGAGGTAGATACTAACTAACTTGGGTATGATTACCAAGTTGGCAGAGTCACCATATGCTCTGAGGGCTTATGTAACCCTGGATACAGAACTGCAGCCAGATTTCCCAAGGCGGCTTCCAGATTTGCTTGAGTCAAAGCAGGCACCTTTACAACACATAATCATTTTTTGGCACCACTTTTCCGTGTTGTGGATATCTCAACTGTCAGAATGTACAAGAAGGCATTCAGATCATCTCCTATGGGTATGTATATGAAGACATTTGAGTAAAATAGCCTGCAGTTTCCTGTTCCCATGACAGGTTTCCAGGGAGGAGTTTAACTCGCATCACTAAGGAGGCCACAAGAGAGCCCCCAGGAATAAGTGGCCGGAAGCTCTCCACAGAGGTGGGCGACTGAGCCTGGGCCAGCTATTAAGAAGAACCCACCTCTATTTTTCCCAACCGAATGTGCGACTTCGGGCAGATCACAACTTGCCTGTAGAGTTCCTATATTAGCGAAATAAAAGGGTTAAACTAGATTTAAGACCCACTGAGGCTTTTAAATGTCCCGTTTCTCTATGTACACTGGGTATCGGATTTCCCTTTTTATTTTTCAATCTTAAGCAAAGGCCACAGAGTTTTAAATCTTTCAAAGCTTGGTTACCCAGTTTCCTTTTGCTGAGTTCTAGAAAGTGAAAAAGACTAACTTTAATTCTGTTTCAATGCTCATTCCAAGGAGGCAGAGTTAACAAAATGCCAGGCTTAGGAGCCTGAGGTCTGGCAGAATATACTGAATGCTCTTTGAAAGTCTTACTCTAGTTACCAAAGTCCTTTAAAAATATATATTTTTTCTTTTAACTAAAAAATCCAGGGACACAAAAAACTTTTGGTTTGGAAGGCTTAAGGCATGTGGCCTGTACAGAGATATTTTACAGTTACTTTACATATCAAAAATGAAACATGTGAAAACCTTAAAAAAGTTAGTTCAAGTGGAGAGGATGTTAGAGAACAATAATTTTTCTATTTACCTAACCTATACTATTTAAACATCTAAAATTAAAACCAGATCCTGAATAACAGAGTCAGTTGACATGTATATATTTGACTCAGGCCATGATGAGCCGGGGGCCTTAAGTTTAATGTCGGTCTAAGACAGACATCAAAAGCCAAATCTATACACAAAACACCTTCAATTCCTTGGTTCCTGCTACTTTCTTCCCCTTAAGCACCCCACAACAGCCATAAACCTGAAGTTAAGAACAAAAACCTCAAAATAAAAATAGCAGTGGTCAAGAGGTGGTACTCTAAGTTCAATGTCCATGAGAGATAAGTGTTCTATAGACAATGATAAAATTAGCACTTTAAATATTTAGAGATTTTTCTATTTATTTGGTCATCCAGTCTAAGTAACAAATGTAGTAATATTTGAGTGGCATTTTGATTTGAAATTCTGCCTTCAGTGAGTCTCAGTTAGAGATATAGGCAGGTTTTAAAAAATAAACATATCAGGAATATCGTGCAGCCATTAAAATGAAGATAATAAAATGTTGTAGTAACATACATGTTGTGTGTATGTATGTATGACTATAGTATTATTTAAAACAAACTTCAAAAGATCATCTTTCCCTCACAAATATGCATAGGCTAAAAAGTCAGGGAGAAATATACCACAATCCTAATACCAGCTGTGTGTGCGATAAGATTAGAAATGATCATTTTTCCCCTCAACTCTTCTGTAATGAGCTCATATTTAATGAAATATAGAAATTTAACAACGAGTAAGTGAAAGAATAACCTCGAAAGGTAATCTAGAAAGGTCTTTGTCAGCATATCTAGAACATCTGCGAGATAAAAAGCCTTACTTCGGGTGTTATATTCTTTGCTACTATCATCTCATCTTTACTTACCATTGAGTCGTAATCCTAGAATCCTTTTTCCTTTTTAGATAAATGAGAGTCAATCGTATATGAAGTTAAACTAGAAACAAAATCATTTAATGGCTGACTCAACACTGTCTAGTCTGGAAGGCTCCATAAAACAAAGGGAGAAGCATGCCTCATGTGGGTGAAGAAGCTCCTGCTGGCCTGGAGGCCTGGCTTCTCCAGGTTTTCTCCTGTCACTGAACAGCAGAATCAGTGCTTGGGCGGGTCAGTGATGTGACGTGCACGGGTGGTTTCATGGAGCCAGCCCTGGGTTTAGGCGGAGGGCTCCTAGGGGCTAAGACTCGTTCCACTTCCCAGTTCAGTCACAGGATAAACATGTCTTCCTACTAAAACAAGCCCTGAAATGTCAGATACTCTCTCTTCTCTGTGACTCTGCAATCCAGAAGTGCACTTGTGAATGTGGAGATTGGATAATCAGACAGCGGAGAATAATGAATGATGGTTAGTTATGACTTTCAAGATTTAAAAATAAACCAAAACCATTTCCTATGTCGTCACATATCTTTAACCCCTAGAGAGAAATAAATGCTACAGCTTCATAGTTTTAACATAAATACAAATCCACAAGGAAAAGATGTTAACTGAGAGAGGCTTAACATGTCCTCTCTCATCCAAATTCAATTTCTTCTATTCCTGGAGATTCTGTTGAATCTAGAAAAGGCTCTTTAAGAGGAGGATAGTTGTATAGAATTTGAGAAGAAAACATAAACAGTGTATGCATGTCAAGGCTCAATTAGAAAATAATTCACTTTGATTGCCATGTACAAAATGTAAAGCTCCCACAGATTAAAGCAGACTCATATGCCACTGTATATAGAAATTGACTATCTACTTACTGTTTGAGATTTCTTCTTTTTCTTTTTCATTGACCTGAAAAAACCTTGTTTTTCCTTTTCCTTGAGCTGTTCGGAATGACTAATGTTTTCGGGACTTTTCCTAAATAGAAAGACGTTTTTATCATATTGATCTTTCAACCATTCTCCTGCCATTATGACAAATACAATAAAGACTAAAAATGCATGACACCAGGTTCAAATAGCCATGAAGAATCAAGTGCACAGGTAAAGAGCCTCTAAAAACCACAGGAGGAAGTGAATCTAATCTACCACGGTTAATGATTAGATTTGGTACAGACCTACTCGAATTAGCAATTTGAGCATTATTACAAATGATCTGTAACTGTGCTGCAGGACCATTTTCAAGCTGTTAAAAAGCTCAGAACTAGAGAGTTTGAAAAGCACATGGTCTAAAGATGCCACAGGTAAAGAGCCTCTAAAAACCACAGGAGGAAGTGAATCTAATCTACCACGGTTAATGATTAGATTTGGTACAGACCTACTCGAATTAGCAATTTGAGCATTATTACAAATGATCTGTAACTGTGCTGCAGGACCATTTTCAAGCTGTTAAAAAGCTCAGAACTAGAGAGTTTGAAAAGCACATGGTCTAAAGATGCCTTTTCTGTAACCCCCCCCCTTTTCTGGAAAAAAGCCTCTAACTGAAAATATTGACGTTAAGCTTCATACCATGGACACCACCAAGTATTTTAATACAAATAGGAGATATTAAAAGA